TGCGTATATGTTTTGCTTTACTTTGCTGCATGTGTTGTGCTGTGCTATGGTGTGCTTCGATGCGTATATGTTTTGCTTTACTTTGCTGCATGTGTCGTGCAGTGCTATGGTGTGCTTCGATGCGTATATGTCTTGCTTTACTTTGCTGCATGTGTCGTGCAGTGCTATGGCGTGCTTTACTGCTCTGCTGTGCTTGCACTTACTACACTGTACTGCCGTAGCCACAAGTCTTCTACTCTTTTCGTCCCCCGGCCAATGGAAAGACAATTTCTTCCCCTTGCAGGGATTCGAGTTTCCGTTTCGCGCCATCAACGTTGTCATTGGCTGTTTGATATTTATTCACCGACGAAAATTGAAGCGATGCAGAAATGAAAGTTGGGGTGTGGTGTAGACTTTTATAAAGCCTATGCTTTACTGTGCTGTGCTGTGCTTTGCTCTGAGCTTCGCTATGCTTTTCTTTGTCTTTTCTTTTGTTTGTTTGTTTGCTAATCTAATATTGTATTTTCCCCTTTTGACAAGGCTCTGGCTTCAATACAACTTCAGTACGAGAATTCCCTTCGCCAAGAAAAGGTAATAAAAGATAAATGGCAAAGATACGAAGTGCAGCAAGAACGACTTCGTCTCGAAAAAGAACGGCGTCTCAAACGAGAATTACAAGAAAAACGAACTGAAAAAAGCCCGAAAAAGCTATCATCAGATTTGGTCGATGGCCAGAAAAGTTGCGAGAAGTTGGACACAAGCACATGTAGTCTAATTATTTCAGCTGAAAACTTTTCTGTGTCATCTCTAAGCTCTAGTACTGAGTTTCTAACATCGAAAGATGACAAAGACGAGCTTCTGGAACTTAGAAACCAAGTTCGAGACCTTCGAATACAACAGCTTTCGCTTACACAAGCACTTGAAGACTCAAACAGAGAAAATACAAAGCTAAAGAGGACCGTTTCTGTGTTAAAAGAAATTCTTAAGAAGGAATTAAATATGGATTTTGACGAGGATGAATTGGCAGGGGATATCGACGAAGAAAGCAGAGAGGAAAGCAACGAGTTAAGCAATTCTATATCAGGAACCGAAACTATTAATTACGATGTTATGAACGAAAAGGTTGAAAAATATTAACTTTAAATAGAATTTCAACCTAATAAATCCAAATGTTGTATGAACTGCATGAGTTTAAGGCGTTATCTAAAAAATAAACAATATTTATGAAGTTGCTATGAAAATTGTCCGTTTTTCTCTTTGTAAGAGTTGGAGATTTTATTGATTACTTTGAGGTGAAGACCGCATTTTCGAGGGGGGAAAATGAGAGAGAGAGAGAGAGAGAGAGAGAGAGAGAGACCTTAAGTTTAGATCGATAAGCCCGTGCGAAAACATATGTGTTTTTTTAATAATTTTTTTGAGAAAACGAAGTATCAAAATGTAGCGGATAAGTAAATGTAATTTATAATGATAATACGACTCAGTGAAGTCCAGTTTGGCCTGTAATCATACAAGTAATTAGCGAGTGTCCAATTTGTTATTGGAGTTTTAAAAATGGCGGCCATTTTTCTTGATGACGTCACATTCTCAATACTCTAGCCGGCTAAGATTAGTGTAGTTATGATAAGCTATATCTCAGCCCCATTCCAATCACGTACTGAACCAAATCTAGTAGTAATGATGAAAAGGTAAATTAT